TTAATACTTCTGGTTTGCAACATGGATGTCATTAGAAAACCGGGCTTAGGTTTATGAAAGTTGCACCTTGAGCTGTAGTTGAAGGATTTTTAAGGGGCAGTTAGCTCTTTCTAGCCACTAAAAAAAAAAAAAAAAACAGATGGGCAAGAAGCTGTGTTTAAATTTATTTGCTACTTTAAAGGCAACATCTGATATTCCCTGAGACTACATAGATTAAAGTAAAGATTTATGTTAATGCCAAGGATTAAAATAATTTTAATAGCACGCATAAAAATGTAAATGTGCTATGTTCCATTTTTTTTTCTGCAGACAAATATGCCATAAGGGAGCTGTAGATGGAACAGAATATATTCACATCCTACAAACTGTAACATCTGGCTTAATTTTGCACTCTTGTGTTCTTTACATAGCAGTTGTCTTCCATTGGTGCATCCTTCAAATCACAGTTTAACATGGAATCATTTATTCCCCTCTTTTGAAATTCCCTGAAGGGAGCTGGAACTATCTACAAAAATAGCAATTTTTTTTGCAAATTCTTGATTATCTGTTTATTGAGGAGTTGAGGGTCACTTAGAATTCTCTGTGCCCCATTCTCCAACTTTCATTACTATGTAATGCAAACAGGCACTAATATCATATTAAATTGTTTTTTATTAGGAAACCTGCCATTAGATGTAGCAATACACTAAATGCAGAAATTATTGAAAACATTATAGTGATGGAAACAGTTAAGGTGCATATGTATATGCCTTAAAGGTATATTATGATTTCTCACTTTCCTGCTCTGTTTGAGAAGTGATTCTGCGACGGATCTTTTAAAAAAATGCTTAGCATGTATCACTAACTAGCATCAGCAACTGAAAGTCCTTTGTTAAAGTGACAATTATATATTTGTATTTCTTGGTTTTAAAATGATTTGAAACTAAACAAAATGTGGAAAGAGATATCATGAAAACTGGAAAACAGCAAAGAGTTGTTTCTGATGAGGAATGGTACCCTGATACCATTCAAAGTTCTCTGAAGGCAAGAGAGCCACTGCAGCTTTTGAAAGCCCCTGGGCAGAGATCTCTGGTTGGCTTTTATCTCCCTGGATCAAAGGGAGATTAACAGATTAACCATGTGTTTTCTGGATGGTAGCTCCTTCTGATTAAACTGCAGAGATGGAAAAACTTTTGCAGTTAGATTGAGACTTGAGGTGTTGGCACCCCTCGACTTTTCTCTATGGAGTCCTAACTTCAGAAAAACTGTTAGAGACTTTACAGCCTTGTTCTCCCCATCTTTTATTCACTTTAAGAAACAAATAATTATAGTTGAAAACAGATTTTCTTTTGCAGCAAAAATAAGGCTCCTTCTGGTAAGCTAAGCGTTCTTTGGAAACTAGAAAAATACAAGAGAGACCTCGGTTTAAAAATTAAAAGACTTATTAGAAAAAGAGAGTTTTCAAAGGCTAGGGGGACAGTCCTTATTTTATTGTTATTTTTATTTTTACTGTTTTACTTTTATCAAAAGTGCTTTGATAGGATTTATTACTGAGTTAGTGCAAGAGGATAGCCTTGAACTCAGTGGTGGGATTCAAATATGTAAACAATTGGTTCTCTGCATGGATGTACTTCTGGAAGTCCGTTCTGGGCTTGGGCAACAAAAAATGGTTTTTTTCCTCTCTAATCTGGCTCTTTGAATGGACAATTTTTTTTTCTGTTAGGCACTGGCGCCATCTACTGTCTTTGGAAACCATCCCTATTATCAGATGTGAAGAGAGGAGGCTGCTCTCTGCAGTTTCCCCCTCCCCCTTCACACCTGCAAAGGGTTCCAAATTCAACCTTCCTTTTGGTCCTTCCACCGTCCTTTGAATTTGCTGGGAAAAATTGGAAGCACCCATAAATGTTCCCCTCCCTTTTTAGAGAAAAATTAAAAGGGAAACCTGCTTTGGCTTCAAACCCCAAATTGATGTGTTTCTTAAATATTTGGCCTTCCAGAAAATTAATTTTGGGCTTGGAATGGTGAGAAAAATAAGAGATGGTTCAGGGCCCAACGTCACATTTTGACTGGAATCACATCTTGATTTTTCTCACTTCTTGGAGATCAAGCAACAGGCCTGGAAATGTTGTCTTAATGGTATCTGTGTGTGTATGTGTCTTAATTCCAGATTGCTTCTCTCTTTGATCAGTTTCCAACCATTGTTTCTCGTCCTTCCCTCTGATGGTTTGGTGAACAACCTGGCCCCCTCCACCAGGTTGTTCACCAAATATACTGGAACGCTGCTATCATGTCTCCCCTATTTCTTCTTTTCTTGAGACTAGCCAAACCCAAGTCCTGCAGTCGTTCTTCATATATTTTAATCTCCAGGCCTTGGATCATCTTAGTTGCTCTTCTTTGCACTTTTTCCAAAGTCTCAACATCTTTTTTGTAGTATGGTGACCAAAATTGGCTGCAGTATTCCAGGTGTGGTCTTACTACGGTTTTATAAAACGGTAATAATACTTCTCGTGATCTTGATTCTATGCCTTTGTTTATACAATCCAGGATTGTAATAGTTTTTTTGGTTGGAAGAAATGTAGAAATTCATAGAAAAAAACTTAGAAAGGGGCATTACAGGATCTGAGGGTTTCCCACTGAGATCAATAAGTTAAAAGTGTCCCAAGCAAACCCCATCCCAAAGTTCATCCGGTCAGTTCATATGGGCCAATCCCCAGGTTTTAAGTCTGTTGTGGGAAAGAGCAGATAACGCCAGTCTGTCTCAGGTTGCAGTGATGTTTTGTTGGCTCTTTTACACTTTCCTTTCTGAAAGTGGAGATAAGCCAGATGGCCAGAGGTGCATTCCTTTCTTCTTCCCCCCTTCTAGCTGACATCAAGGGGAAAGATAGTTCACAGACTAAGTAAGTAACACAACAAAGTGTTACAGTGCAGCGATAGAGGAAAACAGAACAATAACCCGCAGTGCTTCCCCCCTCCCCTCCAGGAGCATGGCGGAACCCAGAAGTATAGAGAGAGTAGAGTTAGAATTAGGTAGAAAGGGGGCCCCTTAGAATATGGGTTCTGACAGTATTAATGATGAAGATATTTCGGCTAAAATGTATAAACTTTTCCCAACATAATAAGAGCAAGTGAAAGGATGTACAGTTAGTTCTTGACCTACAGGTAGCTCATTTAGTGACCGTTTAGTTACAATGGCCCTGAAAACAGTGACTTATGACCATTTTTCACACTTATGACCACTGCAGCATCCCAATGGTCACGTGATCAAAATTCAGACATTTGGCAACTGACTCACATTTATGATGGTTGCAGTGTCAGGACTGAACATCTGGCTGTGGGCAGAGTCAGCCTACAGTACCTCATTCTAATCACTGTGCTGCCATGGCAAAAAATGTCCTTGGGAAAGCTGGGTTTGCTTAACGACTGCTGTAAAAATTGTTGTAAAATTGGGTGCGGCTCAACTTACAATCACCATGACTTATGATGAAAACTCTGGTCTCAAATATGTCCTAAGTCAAGGACAGGCAGAGGCTGAGTGAGGTGAGGCACAGCTGTAGCAAGTTGGCCAGGAGGCTTCAGGTGAGGACCGTGAGCATCTATTGCCCATTAGCAATAAGGTGGTGGAGTCCACACCTCCTCCTGATCCAAGGGCACATAGAAGACAGGCACAATGCCAGTCAGTTAAACTATTCATAAGGAGGCAACCTTGCCTCTCGTGAAGGGCTGCACCAGCATTGCCTACTAAATCCTGCCCTGAGGACTTGAGTGTTGCTGGAGCAACATGGCTAGTTTGGAGCCTTGTGTGTTCGTGTTGTGTATCCTGACCCATTTGACTTCTGGACTGCTTTCCTTGATTTTGTGTGTGCCTGTTGGACTTGGTTACCCAATGACTCTTGCTGTGCTGAGCTCAGAGTCTGGACCTGTGCGATGGGGCTGCTTTCTGAGGACCTGTTTGGGGGGTTTGAAGAGACATCTGCAGACGTTTGCTATTTGTGTGTGTGTGTGGGGGGGAGCAGACAGTACAAAAACAGACTTTGGGTCAATTCTGAGAAGACCGAGTAGCAGTAGCTGTTTTGCCTTCTAGGCTGTGGACATCTCCACTGCTGGCCTTGGATAGCATTGTCCTTCTCCATTCAAGATACTGTAATGCATTGACTGAAGGTCCTCTACAATTCTAATCTCCTGCTTGAAAGATAACTGTGGGCAGACAGGCATTGTACAGGTTCATCTTGTATAATGATTATACAATTTCCTTGACCAGGAAGCCCTTCAGATGGTCACCCAGGCCCTGATCACCTCACAGTTGGACTACAGCAATAGGCTCTACTTGGGGCTGGCCTTTAAAACCATCCAGAAGCTGCAGCTGGTACAACATTCGATGTTTTGAATCCCCACTGCTACATGAGCTGCCGAGTTTGCCAGTTGGCTGCTGGGTGCAGTTCAGGTTATTGATTTACCACCTATAAAGATTTTCATAGCCCAGAACCCACTTAGTTGAGGAACTGCCTGTCTCCAATTGCTTCAGCCTGCCTGGTCCATCAGGGCGGAGTGGGTGTGCTCCAGGTCTCTTCAACTCAGCAGTTGCCATCTTGTCCTCTGAAGCATTTCTTTGTCATGCCCCCCCCCCGGTCTGGAATAGCCTCCCCCTGGAGATATTGCCTGAATAATGCCCATCTCTTAGGCTTTTGGAAAGCCTTTAAGACCTGGCTCTGTTCCCACGTCTGGGATTAATGCGCTTGTTATATGCTGATGGGGATCCTCTCATATTTTTGTGTTGCTTTATAGCCGTTTTGATCAGGGCTGTCCCTTTCTGTAGGTTTTAACTGTTTTATTGTTTGGGAGTTTTGTAAGGCTTCCAGAGCTTTCACAACAAATATGATTAAATTAAATTAAAATGTTCCTAACCATTATGGTGCCAAAGGGATGAAGTGTGGCCTGTGATGTGTTAATGCAAATTCCATCCCTCTGAATTTGTTTTGTGATGTTCCAGGCAAAACAGAAGTGAAGCTTGGATTGTTACATTGTGAGACAAACTGTACTTTATCGGCCTTCCCACTTTGCCAACCTCATACAGACACCCATGGGAGAACTGGAGATTGATGGAACATGAATGACAGATCAAGTAATTTAACCTTCTGGTGTAATGAAACTCATTCATGAAGCTTATGTATTTGTATAAACGTCTGTTCCACAAAATTGCATAGGAGGAGCTCCACGAGGCTGCAACCAAAAGCTCACCTCCACTTAATAAAGGTCCTCAAAAGGCTTTGAGTAATTAAACATCAGATAATCCATATAATAGAAATCATAACTACGCTGCCTTTGAGAAGGAGAAAGCCGTGTAAAATATTGTTGTGTGATCTGAGTGGTTGTCCTCTCTTCGTTGGAATGTCTGTCTTTAAACCTAGGGAAAGTCAAATTCTGTGGAGCATTTATCAAATGGAGGAAAAAGTTAGCATCTTCTTCCATGGTTTCAAATTTCCCAATGAAGTCATAGTCCACTAAGCAAGGACTACACAGCCTGTTGATGTGATCCCAGTGGATGTCCATGCCAATCGGCCGGTGCACATCGAGAAGATATTGAACAAACTCTTTGAACTCTACCCCAGAGCCTGTCCTCAGGGCCTCCTTGGTGGCATTGGGGCGATACTTTGAAATAATGGGCCTGCCAAAGACGGGGTGGTAATAATTGTTGGGATGCTCAAACTTGTCTCGAAATGCCGACACTAACTTCTCAAAAGGTTCACGAACAAAGAGCATCTTAGTGTAAGTACTGAGCCTGTAGTTGATCCCTTTGTGATCAAAACCATCCAGCTTCTTCAGATAATTCCCATAATGCACAGTATTGTGCTGAATAACCCTGGTTGAGGAGGCCAGTCCATTAAGAACCATGAGCACTCTCTTCCAGTTGGAACAGCCGGCTTTCGGGACTTCACAATATAAAATTCGATATTTATCTTCGACAAATATCCTGGAAACATGATAAGGGGTGATGACTCTTTTGTTGTTACTCTTGTACTTGGAGCACGTGTCTCTCATGATGCGTTTTCTCTCTCTCTGGACCTCGTAGAGACTCCTCCACTTCAGCTCCTCTTTCGCCTCAGCTTTCAGGAGGGGCAGGCTGTGGAAGGAGGCATTAATTGCAATCCGGAGGGGGCTTCTTCTCAGGACAAATTTCCTCTTTCGCTGATAGGCAGAATTCGCACCTGGACCTTTCCGCTGTCGGTCTTGAATCCCGCCTAAAGCCTTCTGGGCCTGGCCTGAGCTTCGAGGCTTCACGGACTCATCTCGCACGGGGTGTAAAGAGGCCCGCTGGTTTGCCATCAGAAAGGAGTCCTCTCCATTTGCCTGATCGTTGCTCGATGCGCCTTCCTAGTGGGAGAGAAGAAGCAGGGCATTACTAAAGGAGGCAGCAGAGGCTAAGGATGCCAGCGAATTGTGCCGTTTTAGTTTAGCCAAACCTGGCAGGCAGCGCATTGCTTTACACACAGCACTGAGGCTGCAGTTATGATTTTTTTTTTTACCTTCTGCTTTTGAACGTGTTGCTATTAATATATGCATCAGTTCTAGAGCTAAACCTGGGAACCCTGCAAGGACACAGTTTTAATATTTTCAAATCTCAGTGTCTATGAAGATTCTCAGTCATCCAAGTCACGGTAGTATCAAAAGTGGCTTTTTATTTTTGAAAAGAGGCCATTTATGTTAACACTGAGCAGCTCTCTCTCAAGAGAGGAGGAGGGATAAGACACCCCCCACCCCCAATTTACAAGGCAGTCCTTTGGGCTGTTCCAAGAAGCTTCCACACCTCTGATTCAGGTGACCCTGAGATCACAGATAAAACCCCAAGTAAAGACAATGGCTCCCAGCTGACTGAAAAGAAAACACAGCCTTTCCATCCTCCCCCCATCCTGTCAGAGCCTGTCTGTCCCCCTTCCACCCATAATCTCGACAGTCAATAACTGCCCTTCCATCTCCCACAGCATTCAATACAACTGATGAAACTTCCAGGATAGAAGCACAGTCTTGTTTTCCTCAAAAAATCAGCCCAGTTGCCTTTTCAAAAATAAAAACCACTTTTGTTTCAAACCTTAGATGCCAATAGAGTGACCTTTTCATTTTGGAAGCCCCTGCCTTCAGACTGCAGGATGTGGGGGAGAGCAAATGCAGGAAGATGGCAGCCCCAGCCTTGTTTTAAAGCCCCACCCGCTTCGTATGTATGGCGAAAGGGGCAATGCCACATTGCCACCCTGGAGACTTTGTTCCCCCCTCCAGGCAGATGCCCACACTTTCAAGGCTGGATTTCGAGGGACACGTCAAAGTGAAGATAACACTTCTATCTATACTGCAGAGTTCTCACTTTTCTGCTAAATTACAACGATTCCCAGTTTATAGACCCACTGAGGCCATCCAGTCCAACCCTTTGCTCGGTGCAACAATCCCATTAAACACACCAGTCAAATGGCTGTTTGACATCTGGGTCAGCACATGCAGCGATAAAGGGGAGCTCAGCTTCCTTCTGGGTCAGTGGCTCCTCTGTGGCTAGGAAAACATTTTTTCTAACATGTTAATACAGGTAGTCCTCGACTTACGCTGAGCCCAACATTTCTGTTGTGATGTGAAACAACACAAATCTGGAGCTCCATTCACAGTTAAGTGAAACAGTTGTGAGGTGAAATTTGCCCCATGTTACGACCTTCCTAGCCACAATTGTTAGGCAAATCGTTGCAGTGGTTAAGTTAGTAACATGGTTGTTAAGTGAATCCCGTTGACTTTGCTTGTCAGAAGTTTGCAAAAGGTGATCACGTGACCCCAGGATACTGCAATTGTGGTAAATATGAGTCAATCACCCGGTGTCTGAATTTTGATCACGTGATCATGGGGATGCTGCATTGTTCGTCGTGTGAAAAATGGTCCTATGTCATTTTTTTCAATGCCATTTTAACTAAACGGTCACTAAATGGACTGTTGTAAGTCAAGGATTATCTGTATTTTTCTGCATCCTGCGCTCTAAAACACTGGAGGACAGATCTTGAGGTTCTGGGGCATCACCATTCAGGGGTGTGAAGCAGTTTGTCAGGCCTTTTGGATTCCTAGACATACCTTAGATCAGGGTTCTGCAACCTTGACCACTTTAAGTCTTGTGGACTTCAGCTCCCAGAATTCCTCAGCCAGCTCTTAAAGTTGTCAAGGTTGCAGACCCCTGCCCTAGATGGAACATCATTCTAGAGGAGGTGGCAGTGTGTCATGGATCTGCCCCCAGACCCCTCTTCAGATGTGAGCTCGGAGGCGGAGGAGGGTGAGTTTGAGTCTGCAGAGGAAAGCATGGAGATGAGAATTGGTCAGGATCCAGCCATGGAGAGTGCTAGCCTGATGGAGGCTGTACTAGACACAGCTACAGCAAGTTGGCTAGGAGGCTCCAGCAATGAGGAGGAGGTGGAGTCTACACCTCCTGATCCAAGGACACACAGGGCAGAGAGGAGACGGGCACAACGCTAGAACAGAGGTCCCCAGCTTTTTCCAGCTTGGTGATCCAGCTCGCCTGGGGGAAGGTGCAAAATTTGGTAGTTAATTAGAACAACTGATGGCAACCAGTGGCACTTCAAATCTACCAGGTTTGCAATTGCTCCTGGCACTTCCTCTCACCCCAGCAAATACCAGGGCTCTCCCTTGCAATTACGTAAACAACAGGGGTAAGGAGGGACTTTGAATTATTCCAGCTGATTCCCAAACGCAGGACTCAGTTTCCCTGCCCCTCTCCAGAGGAGTCCTGGGTGTCTGCAAAGAGCAAAGCGACGGCAGGGGGAGCATTATCACCAATGCCTTTTCATTCAGAACGAACTGGGTGATCTGAAGAAGTTTTTGATTAGCCAGACTTGATGCAAAATGTGGTTACGTGCAATTTTTCTTGTGAACGTGCATTCGATTTATCCAGTCTAAGCAACTTCCCCCCAAAAGTCTATTTCAAGAAATATATCTGAAGAGCCTAATAAACTGAGAGGCTGTAATGAGGCAATTTGCATTCAAGGAAACATCATCCTCCCGTCTTCAGGCTGTCTTCCTTTCACTCAGCCTTCCCCCCCCCCACGGATTTCAGAAAGAAAAGGAAAGGAGAAGGTAGCTTACTCTTTTAGCTTCCTGAGATCCCCTGCCATATCTCATTCCTAAAGAGAGAAAAGACAAAGGGTGGTCAAAAGTGGGATCTGCATAAAAGGCTGCATTCACTTTCCTGGCTTATCTCGTGGGGTGTTTTCCACTACAGCTAGTCCTTGACTTACAACAGTTCATTTAGTGACCAAAGTTACAGGGGCGCTGAAAAAAATGACTTATGACCGTTTTTCACACTTACAACCGTTGCAGCATCCCCAGGGTCATGTGAACACAATTCATACGCTGGGCAACTGGCTTGTACTTATGACAGTTGCAGTGTTCCAGGGTCCTGTGATCCCCTTTTGCGACCTTCTGACAAGCAAAGTCAATGGGGAAGCCAGATTGACTTAACAACGTTGTTACTAACCGGAGCGATTCACTTAAGAACTGTGGAAAGAAAGGTCATAAAATGGAGCAAAATGCACTCAACAAATATCTCAGCAACACAAAGTTTGGGCTCAGTTGTAGTTGTGTGTCGAGGACTGTGTATTAAGGGCTTTTCGCTGTCTCTGCCCCTTCCTTCTCTATTTCCACACACTTCCAATATTCTGACCTCAATCCTTGCTCCCCCCCCCCCCGGGCCGGGGTCCAGAGGGGCTCGGGGTACATTCCAAGCCAAGAGGACGGGGGCAGAGAATAGAAAACAAATCCATAATGATACCAATCTGGAATTTCGCAGGGTTTATTTTTCTCGTGAACGACACTTTTAGGAAAGTCTAAACAGGCAGCTTGCTTAGTATAATCAGTTGCTTTAATAGGAGGCATCTGAGCTTCTTTCCTTCTTCGGAAACAGCTACCCAGTTCTCCCTTCTGTCTTTTCCCCCCCTAAATGCCAACTTGCAAATAGTGCTCTACAGCCGTTCACATATTCACAGGAAATTCATAATGGTGCAATTGTCAATCTAGCTTATAGTTAAATATGTTACGTGAACTTCTCCAAAGCCTCTCTGCTCCAGCCAGGTGGATTCACCCCTCACCTCTTCACTGCTGCTCCAGGGGCTTTGCCTGTGCCTGTTTAAGGCTGAAGAAAGGGGAGAGGGGACCACAAAGAAGGCCTCCTCTGGGTGTGCTTCCCAGTTATGCTTCCCCAAAAGTAAGTTACTTTTTCCAGTGCCATTGTAAGTTTGAACGGTCACTAAATGAACTGCTGTAAGACGAGGACTAGTGTAATTTCCTGGGTGGAATGATTTTGGATTGGGTCGTATCTGTTCACCGATGGATGGCCTCACCTCTGTGTAACTAGTTGGCAAAATAAAACACTAACAAAATGCCTTAAGACTGCTTTTTTGCAATGAAATTAGAGAACTTTGAGCAATTTCCTGCATGATGGAAGAGAGAGATGGAAAACTCAACACAACGCAAGCAGAGGCTCCAAGATCCTTCTGGATCATTAGAAGCACAACTTGTAACTTTATGTGGTGGCTTATTCTTGTAGGCATCCTAATTAGAGCGACATTTGCTGGACTTAATTAATATTCAGTTGAGAGCAAAAATGCCAACCTGGGGCTTTTAATTCCCCCCCCCCATCATCGATGGCCCTATTGCCAGGAATATCATTAATTAGCTCCATTGATGCTCTGGTTCTGTCAGCACACACTTGTGGCTTCTACTTAACAACGTTCAGCTATTCTCTGCTGTCACATTTAGCATTTACATGGAGACAGTGTTTGAGAAAGCACGGGGTGGGGAGGGAACTTGTAGATAAGTTTCCCTGATTGGGCACCAAAATCAGGAGACCGCTGGAGGGTGGTCAAGAGATGCAGAAAGGTTCCCTGTTCATTGTCCTCTAGTGCAGCCCAGTCTGGCAGATCTTAAACCGGCAGGTTGGCTTAAAAGGGAAACATATCCAATCAGAATGGGAAAGAAATTTCCCACTGTGGCCTATGTATCATCTTTTGTATTTTTGAAGTAATGCAAAAATCAAAATTAGAGTGTCATCTGCAAATCTCTTATTTGCAAAATTTGCTGTGGTTTTTATGCCTTATAGTTTATAAAATTGAACCGTTTATGAAAGCAATGTGAAAAGTTGATTATATTAGGAAAAAAGGAATGTGCCTTCCTATAATATTTTCATCTGTATGGAATTCTTGAGCAAACCACCTGGCAGAATTGGGAGAACGGAATCACTCCAAGGGGACTAGCAATCACATTGGCATATTAATTGAGAAAGTCTGTGCATCTTTGTATAGTTAGCTTATTGGCTGAACCCCACTCCAAAATGAAGCACCCTTATTCTAGTAAAAGTACAGATATGGTGTTTCAAGAACCGCAAATGCAAAGTTTCAGGCAGGAAAAGTCCAAGGACCACTTTCTCCACCCTTTCATAGTTGAAATCTGGCCAGGATGCAGGATGCAATCCTTGTTCCTTACAGCAGGCTAGATGCTTCGTTCTCATTGCAACCCTACCAGCTGCTGTCCCATTGTTTGACAATCCTGGACCAGCCCTGGGGAAGAAAGAGGCAAGGAACTGAGCTGAGCTGAAGCATGGGATGCAAACAATTTCCAGGTCATTATACCACCACATATTGAAGAGGGGCCTCCACCAGCAATGGGCAACTTCCAGGCTTTTTACCCCTTCCATTGACCCTGTTGCTGTTGTGCTTGTGCCAGCCTCGCATCTGGCAGCAAGCAGAGTGGGCCAACCTTGGTTTCACCTCGATTTGCAAAAGGAGGTTGCAAGCCATTTGTTTTGAGGAGACACCAATGTGCACAGGGCCAAGGATTGCTGCCCAAAGTTATAGGCAGCAGAAGCAATTGTTTTGAGCTCAGGGTGTGAAATATGGAGAGGCAGCCTCCGCTCATCACTCCCTCCCCTCCCCAGGAAAGCAACATGCTTCTCTCTTTGCAAAGCCAACTTAACAGGGGAATTGAAAGCTATCAGATGTTTATGTCTGAAAGATTTTTCCATTAGCCTTCAAAGATGGAATAATCACAAGAGTATTTTATATGTCTGTGCATGTTTGCTTGTGAAAAAGTCTGTCTGAAATGCCCAGGACGGGCCACTGCAGAGCAGCCACACTGTTGAAATGCCCTGGAGATCTTTGGGCAAATGGTGGTCTGGCACTCACCACCTGTTCTGCCTTGAGCCAGTTATGGAGTGATAATGGGCAGCACCCATGGGGAAGTCTAGCCTTGGCTCTGTTTCAGTTTCCAATCACTCAGGGCTCCTCCTTTAAAGCTGAGCATGAGAAAAGCTACAGCCACACCTTGATCTGCTGCTTAGGACTAAGCTGTAATAGAATGGCGCGATGTTTATAGATAACAGAGTTGGAAGGGACCTTGGAGGTCTTCTAGTCCAGTGTTTCCCAAACTTGACAATTTTAAGGCATGTGGACTTCAACTCCCAGAATTCCACAGCCAGCGTTCTAGTCCAATCTCCTGCTCAAGCAGGAAACCCTATACTGTTTCAGACAAATGGTTGTCCAATCTGATTGTTTTTTTTTTTAAATTAAATCTAATTATGGTAAACAAATTTGGATTTCTTTTAAACAAAAAGCTGTTTCTATAATGTTTCTTTATTCTCAGCGTGGTCATTAGAGTTACGGATAAATATTTCCTTTTGCTCCTGGGAAGTCAATAACCCTTTATATCTTGGCAAGCATACCCTTGCTCTCTTTCCCACCTCCGCTGCTCATTTCCTTCTCTTTGGCCTAATCGGATTTGCCTTGTGGTCAATACTACATTGAAAACAGAGGGCTCTTTAAAAAAAAATCATAAATCCTTGTCTTTCCCACATCATTTCCGATACACTTGCTGTGTTAGTTCAGAAGCTGCAGAATACAAGATTCGAGGCTGCCGCACAGGAAAAATGGCTGGAGCGTCAAGCCACCATTTTGATGTTTTCTCCCGGAAAAGATGGATGCCTTTATGCTACAAGGAGCACAGGCTGCCTGGTCAAATAATCATAGAATCATAGGACTGGAAGGGACCTTGTGCATTGCAGGAGACCTTATATACCATTCCAGACAAATGGCTGTCCAATCTCTTCTTGGAAACCTCCAGTGATGGAGCACCCACAGCTTCTGGAGGCAAGCTATTCCATTGATTAATTGTTCTGTCTCAGAAATTTCTTCTTAATTGTGGATTGGATTTCTCTTTAATGATCTTCCATCTGTCACTTCTTGTCCGGCCCTCAGGTGCTTTGGAGAATAGAATGTCCTTCTCTGTGACATCCCCTCACAATTGGAAGATTGCTAATTCTTATCGTCATTAGACTAGACATACCTAGTTCCCATGACCATTCATCATATAGTTCAGCCTCCAGTCCCCTAATCATCTTTGTTGCTCTTCTCTGCACTCTTCTTAAGAGTTTTAATATCTTTTTTGTCTCACCTAAAAGTGACTATCTAAAGGAACACACATTGCCGTTGATGGCCAGTTCCCAAGTGAGAAGATGCCAGGCACAGAATCCGCAATGTAGTTAACCAATTATGGGTTGCACGATCGCATTAGAGTCAACCTCCATTTTCCCTTCCTAATTAAATGCAGAGGCCATATCAAAACAGAATTGAATCTGTCATGATAATCTGCTAAATTGGAAGTGGCAGCCAGATAGGGAAACAAGCATTATCCATCTATTATAGATAGCTTTGCTAAAATAAGCTGACTGAGAAAACACAAGATTTTTAATCATTTGCCAGGATTTGTAATTTCTCATTTTGAATTGTTTCCCTTTAAAATAGACCCCACACATAGATGCTGATGACCTTAAAAATTCCTGATTCAGGTCACGTGTATCTTCTGTTTCAGAAATCACAGCAGGTAATCGGAGAGAACTGGCAAATACCTGGTGACAGCTCTGGAAAGTGAGAGCCAGTGAAGTAAACCAGGTTCCCGTTTCCCCTCTCCAGTCAGAGGAAGGGATGGGATCAGTGGTGGGATTCAGCCGGTTCGCACCACTTTGGCAGAACCGGTAGCTAATTTTTTGTTGCCCAGGCCCAGAATGGACTTCCGGAAGCAGCATCCACACAGAGAACTGGTTGTTCACATAGCTGAATCCCACCACTGGATGGGA